CCGCGCGCCGCCGAGCAGGCAGCCGAGCAGGCCAGCCGCCCCGCCAAAGCCAGCCGACACGCCACCGCCCAAGAAGGGGAAGGGCGAGACAGGCGGCGCGCGCCCCCAGTCATCGCGACTAGGCAGAGCAGGGCCCAACAAGGCGGACCAGACGAGTGGCCCTGCCACTCCTGAGCAGCGAGCCCGCTGTACCAGTGCATCTTCACTTTTCTGTAGCAATGACACTCGCATGGATCAAAAGACTTTTGATTGGATTGCCACTTGCAATCATGACTTCGCAGGTCTGGTCGAGACGCACATCGCCGACGGCAGCGCCGGCAAGTGGAGAGGCCGATTTCGCGACATCAATCGCAGGCTATTCGCCGACCCTGCCCGCCCTAGCGGGCAAGATGGGGATGTTGGGGGGCTCGTCGATTCCACGGGTGAATCTGCAGTCGCACCTGAGCGCGCCTACGATGGCGGCGAGTAGTTTTTGCCCAAGGGCCATCTCAGCGCCCATCCTCTCCTAGGAGGAGTCCAATCCAAAGGGTCCCAGTGCGCCCTCTCCTCATCCAGCCTCGATGGGCTCCTGCCAGTGGCGCCCCATGTCGAGGGGTTCTCCATCGCAGCTGTCTTTGTTTTACGGTTTTTGCAGCGTCGGCCTGCGAGGGCCGAACCCTCTCCGAATTCGGCGTCTCGGGGGCCTCCCCCGTGCGCTCCAGCCCCCCTGGCTCGAGGTCGGGGATTGAAGCGTCAGCCCCGAGGCGCTCAGCAAGTCAGGCTTCTTGGGGCAGATCCAGGGGCCCATCGCGCGCGCGCGCCTGTCGAGGATGCGTGCGACCCAGGGGGCGGGCGTGAGCCGTCGAATTCGGATTTCGTTGTTCATGGCGCCGTTGCCCGCCCATATCTGGTCGATGTCTCGCCTGTGCGCGATCCACCTTGGAAGCCCCTCTTAGGCTTGAGAATTCAGATTGTCCAATCAGGGGGCCAGCTCCTCACTCGCGTGCTCGGTCTGCCACGACGGCTACCAAATGCAGCCCGGCCTCCCCGCGCTGCCGGCCGCGCCAGGGCCGCCCGCGCAGAGCAAGAAGAAAAGGCAAAGGACAAGTGACAACGCCACTACAATACCTTGCATGGTGATTTTCTCGAGGGCAAGGACCTCGCCGAACAGGTCGCAAGTGCTGGAGAACGAGAGCTGTTTCAGGCCACCTGCGCCTGCTCCTGCTCGCCTCGCCCGTCGTTGGCACGCCGGGTCTCGCCATCCAGCCAGCCTTCGCATGCGCAGAGAGAGTTTGCTCAGTTCGATGGAGTCGAGCCCGCCCAGTCTACCCAGTCTGTCTGCCAGCGATAGACCTGACGCAGTCGGACAGTCGAACGATTATGACAGTTCTAATTCGCCAGCCCAGCGTGAGACCTGTCCCCCCCGAGCGAACCCGATTTTAATCGAGGGACCCAGCCGCAGTGCCTTCGAAGCCCTGGATTCGATAAAGACTGATCTCTGGAGTGGCCGCAGGGAACAAATCGGCGCGCTGCCTTCTCGCAAGTCTCGGCCTGCCCCCGCCGCTGCTGCCCCCGTTGCCTTGTAGGCTCAAGCCTGACGTGCCCCTTCAGCTTGGGCAACTCTACGGTTCGTGGGTCACTACCGTGGAAACATCCATACACGCACGCCACCAGATTCCTCTCGCTGGGACCTCTCGGGCCGCTGGCCCACAGTATCAGATCGAGGTCGCGCGCGAACTACCGCGTCGACGGATTTCCCCGCCTGCGGGCCGCAGCAGTACCTGGTGGGCACTACTCCATCCAGTACAACAGAGCATCTACCACCACCTAGCGCGTGGCAGCGGCTAGTTACAGCGCCAACAACAATTGCGTGCACTTGCCAGGCTTGCGGAATCCCCGCCAGCCAACGCACCGCGCATCATCCACGGGAAGGGCGATCCTCGCTGGGAGCAGCGGGTTGATTTCCTCAAGAACATCCACCGCCACAACGCGGAGACCATCGTCAACCACGCGGCCCGGGCGGGGAGATTCGCGCGACGGGCCCGACAGCGTGCCTTGCGGAAGGCGGCCCGCGACTTCCGCGGCTGGGCTGCCACCGGCGACGCTTTGGGGGCACTCCGCCGCTCGCTGCGACCGCAGCCGCAGCCAGCCGTGGCGATGCAGGATGGCACCAGCACCATCCACGGTCGATCGATGGACTTGTGAAGGGTTTTACGAGTACCACGTCGCTCGCTTACAGCACCCACGCGTACAGCCGATGTATGCATGCATGCCTTCGGCGACGCCAGTAGAGGACAGGAGACCAGCAACTCGCGCCAGCGGAGGGTCGGAGTTGGCGCATTATTCTACGGCTCGCTCGACAATGACATGCAGATGGGGGCGGCCTTATGGGTGCCACTGCCAGGCAGGGGACAGGCCACGGTGCGGGGCGAACTACTTGCCCTGGTCATCGCTGTCGAAGCCACTATCCAAGACATGGTGTATTCACGGACAACGAGGGCTGCTACCTTGGATGCCGCAATGGGCGTGTCCAAGAGCCCACCGGACAAGACGCCGACTTCTGGCTCCGACTCCAGCGCGCAGAGGCTCATCGGCAAGACCGCGTCGCAATTCTTTGGAACCCATCGCACGTGGGGGCGCAGGTCCTCGTACATGGCAGGCTGGCAGCAACGCCGGCCTGTGGCAACTGCGCCGCCGACGCTCTCGCAGGCATTGCAGCCAGCGAAGCCAGAGTTTGCAGGAGGGCGTCAGCAGGTGGCGCTCATTGAGCAGAAAGCTTTGCTAGTTCGGATGCTATAGCTCCGAGCCGCACTCGACGCATATGGATCAGAGACGAGTGGATTTCAGTCTCAATTTGAGCCGCGCCCAAAGCGGCAGAAAGGGATAAGAACCGAGCGCCCACCGCCCCCCAGTTTGTGTGTGTGTTCTCTTCGGGTCGCAGCACCAAGTTGGCCCTACAGGCTCCGCGTGTGCTAGGCGTTTCAGTTCCTCCAGCAAGGCCTCGAGGTCCCTTCGGCTCCAGAGTGAATGCTTCGAACCTTTAAATGTGGATGACACAGTTAAGGAGGCTCCTTTTGGGAAGAAGGTCCACATGTTGGGGGGGGGGGGGGGGGGAACATCAGAGCCACCGTTTAAGGGTCCACGTTGGGCTGCAACTTTGGTTTTGCATTGTTTGTGGCGCGTACACGCAGCAGGTCCTCGGGAAACTCGGTGACCTGTGCGAGAAGCCCACATCTACGGGACGCGAATACCCTAAGCGTATTGCAGGAGGGTGCTGACCCAAGGCCCTCAGTCGTGCTGAGAAGGCCTCCAGATCCAAGAACGCCCTGAACAGGGTGGCAGGGTTTTGAATGTCACTCATCGCTACGCGATCACGCAGAGACTCCATAGACTCCTCCTCCTCCCCTCCTCCTCTCCTCCTCCTCCTCCTCCTCCTCCTCCTCCTCCTCCTCCCCCTCCTCTCCTCCTCCTCCTCCTCCTCCTCCTCCTCCTCCTCCTCCTCCTCTCCTCCTCCTTCTCTTCTTCTCCTCCTCTTCCCTCCTCCTCCTCTTCCTCCTTCCCCTCCTCCTCTCTCCTCCTCCTCTTCCTCCTCTCCTCCCTCCTCCTCCTCCTCCTCCTCCTCCTCCTCCTCTCCTCCTCCTCCTCCTCCTCCTACTCCTCCTCCTCTCCTCCTCCTCCTCCTCCTCCTCCTCCTCCCCCTCCTCCTCCTCCTCCTCCCCCCCCATCGAGCGTGACGGGCACGTCTGGTGCGCCAGATGCGCCACGTGTTCCGTGTGCGCCAGGTGTGCCGCGTACTCCAGCCGCGCCAGGTGCGCCACCTTCGGGGCACGTGCGGAGGGTGTCAGGTGCGCCTGCGCACGTGACAGCACACATTTGGAAACATGTTGGCCCCCACCATCTTTTTCGAAAACCTATGCCCATTATTCTGGCTGGTGGGCGTACGCAGAGCAGGCCATACGCCACCACCCCCGCAGTCCCTGTCAAAAACCATTTGACAGCGATCGCGGGGTAGCCGCGCATGATCAAACTTTAGCCGCGAGGTGCATTTTGTATTGTTTTCGTTAGGGATGGTAGCCCCGCGCGCAGCAGGCAATATGCTGACACCCCCGCCGCCCCTGTAAAACACAGTACAAAATGCTCGCGGGCCTCAAGAACATGATATACAATTTTGCCCACAAGTATGCTGTGTACTGTTTGTTGTCAGGGATAGCGGGGGGGGCGCATCAGGTTGGCCGCGCATGCTCCAAATGTGGAGGCAGAGTGCGCTTTGTAATGCTGTTTGACAGGGATGGTGCGGGGGGGTGGTCATGGTTCCTGGTTGGCCGCTGGTCGCCTGGGGGAGGGGGTGTATATTCATAGGGCACAGTGATCGACCCCTTCCCGAAGGGGGGGAGGGGCAGATGGAAAACAAAGCACCCTAGACCACCTACGCCCCAAAGGGCTGGTGGGACTCGGAGGTCCGCTGGGCGTTCTTGGATCGGCGCTGGGGGCCCCTGGCGGCGCCTCGGGCGCCGCCCCTGGCGCGTTCCGTGCGACAATGAGGGGGGTCCAGCGCCGATCCGAGAAATTCGCGCGGACCGTTGGCAGTTGATGCTGAGCGTCCTGGTCATTGGCCTTGCCTCTCTCCTTCGTCCCAGGGGGCGGCCGAGAGGGGGGTGATGGTTTGGGGGCATCTCATAGCCGGGGCCAGGACATCTCTTTGGATCTCCTGGCCCTCTCTTCTTCTTCTTCTTCTTCTTCTTCTTATTTTTCTTCTTATTCTTCTTCTTATTTTTCTTATTATTATTCTTATTGTTATTCTTCTTATTATTCTTATTGTTATTATTCGTCGTTCCTTCTTCTTCTGCTGCTTCTGCTTTTCTTCTTTCAAGACGCCCCTTGGCCCCCCCTCGTCCGCGCACGTGCCTTTGACCGTGATTTGCGAAGCCGCCTCTTCCCCTCTTGGGCGCAACCCTCTCGGAGGCCTCCGATGGATGCTCGGGCGCCCCTTTTGGTGCCGACGGCGGCCTGTGCGCCCGCAGGCGACGGGGCGTCGGTCAGCAGCGGCGACCTGATCTGCGGCGGGTGTGCGCTGGGCTTCGGGCTGATGTTCGCCAGGAGCCCCTCGTGGAAGAGGGACACGCAAGGGCCAGCGTCAGGGGGGGATCGGCTGAGTGGGGGGGGGGCGATTCGCTATCGGAATCGGGGTTCGAGGCTTTCAGACATGTCGGTGGTGTCGGCGGGTTCCTAGCCTCGGGGTGCGTTTCAGCAGCTGGGCCTCGCCGTGGGCGTTCCAGGGGTGCACGGCTCGTCCCGAACGGCGGCCAGAGAGCCGAGTTATGACCCGACAACCACCCAGGGGCAACGTCAGGGGGGACCGTCTCAGGGGGGGGACTGCATCGACCCCCAACTCGCCAATTGACCGCCGATGGGGGCCCGATGGCCCACCCCGCCCTGGAAAGTGCGGATTTTTCTTACCATCGGTGGCCTGTCGCCGATCTACCGGCGATGCATCGCTGACTCCAGGCCGATGTTCCCCCTCCCCCCCTGAGCCAGTCCCCCCCCTCAACGTTCTCTTTGCAAACCCTGACTCCGGATCCGCCCTACTTTGGCTTTTTTTTCAAACTCAAAATTGCATCGGAAATCCACCTATAAGGAGCCGAACAAGTAGGGCGGAAATTGCTGCACCCAACATAAAATGGGGCGAACATCCACAGAAGTAGGGCGGAAACAACAACAAAAAAGTAGAGCGGAAATTGGCACCAGCGGGGCTTGAAAAGCAAGGCGGAAATTCCAAGCCCCACTTACGAATTTCCCCAAAGCAGGGCGGATCCGGAGTCAGGCCAGTCCCCCCCCCCCATCAACGTGCTCTTTGCACACGCGGCGCAGGCACAGGCTCTCGGAGGCTCGCGGGATCGGCGCGCGGAGGGCCCCCCCTCCCTGGCGCGCGGAGGGGCGCCGTATAGGGGCGGCGCCCGAGGGGCGCCGCCGGCGGGTGCCCAGGAGGAGGAGGAGGAGGAGGAGGAGGAGGAGGAGGAGGAGGAGGAGGAGGAGCTGGAGGAGGAGGAGGAGGAGGAGGAGTTGGAGGAGGAGCTGGAGGAGGAGGAGGAGGAGGAAGAGGAAGAGGAAGAGGAGGAGGAGGAGGGAGGAGGAGGAGGGAGGAGGAGGAGGAGCAGCGCCGATCCGAGGAACCCGCGCGGGCCCCCTCGACGGCTCGCGCCGGAGTGTGCCCCGTCGCGTCTGCCACGCCCTCGCGCGGCCAGCGCCGCCGCGGCGCGCCCAGGGGGGGGGAGGGGCGCACGAGGAGAGCGGCCCTTCCGACGAGACGGCAGGGGCCGCCGCCGAGAGGGCGCTCCCCAGAAGCTGGAGGGGGCGAGGGCTTCGAAGGAGGCCCCCCCCGCCTCCGAGAAGCCCCCCCCCCCCCGCCTGCTCTTGGAGGGCCGCCGCCTCGCGTCCCCCCCCCCCTCCTCCCCCCCCCATCCCCCCTTGTGCGCGCCGCCGGGAGCTTCTTAGCACCAGCCCCGGGCATGTTTCCGCCCACGCGTCGTCTCGGGTCCTCTCCCCTGCTCCCCCTCTATCCTGCTCTTCCTCCTGCTCCTCCTTTCTCCCCCTGTCCTGCTCCTCCTCCTGCTCCTTTATTTTCCTTTGAGGCCCCATGCCCGTGCAGGCGTGCGCGGGGAGCCATGGAGCTTTTAACACGAGCTGGTCTGGTCACCTCTGTACGGGTCCCAGCCCTGCTCTGACCCCCGCGGCGCTGCGCTTCGACGGACAGGTCAGCAGAGGACTGGCACACAGGTGCACGTCAGTCGTGCGGCGTTTGCCGCTCGGCGGGGGGAGCATGTTGCCCCAGGGCTACCGTTTCCGGACCCACCGACGTCACCCAGATGTGGTGGAGCCCGGCCTGGGACCGAACAATAGAAGTGGCCGAAAACGCGCCCGCACCTGTGACCGAAAACATAGTGTGGCCGAACTGGTGACCGAACTTGAGAGTCGTATTGGTTTCGCACCACATACTTCGGTCGCGCTCGGTCACACTCGGGCTGATGTCCTGGCATTGTTTCGGTCATTGCACGGGCCTGATAGAGACGAGGCTACCCGACATGTGTTGCGCAGAGGTGGTTGTCGTGGGTAAAGAGTATGGCTACTGCGCGAGTGCCAGACGACCAACATTCGGCGGCGAGCGAGCGGGGGAATGGAGAAGGAGAAGGCCTTCTCAGAAAAGGTGCGGAAGTCCCCTGGCCTTCTGAGAAGTTTCCTAAGCCTTCCCCGAAGACAAAGAGAACCTCGCAGAAGGCGCGAGGGCTTCTGAGAAGTCCCGCCGCCTTCTGAGAAGGCCCTCTCCCTCTCACTTCCCCCCTCGCTCGCCGCCGTAACGCATAACGCATACAACTGTTCAGTGGTACCACAGAGCGCTGCTGCTGCAGAGTGCGCGGGAGCGCGCAAAGGGTTCACACCTATATGGGAAGACAGTGCCGGCCTCCATCCTCGCAGCCGCAGCAGACTTGTGAGGCGAAGCTGCGCGGCGCTGAGCTGAGAGGCCCATTAAGTGCCCCCTCCTCCTCCTCCTCCTCCTCCTCCTCCTCCTCCGCCTCCCCCGCCTCCTCTGCTCCGAACCTGGCGCGTACTCTTTGAGGTGAGGGCGCGCGGCGGCAAGGCGAGCACCAGGCCCCCCAAGGCTTTGCCCGACCTCGAGCAGGCGGGGACATTCGAGGCGCAGGGGCCGCCTCACCACCTCTCGGGTTTGCTCGCCTGCCCTCTGCACGTGCTGCTCCCGACTTGGGTGCTGTCACACGGTACCCCTGACCGATGGTGCCCCCAGGATTCAATAGTTCACTCAACGAGTTTTTGCCTGTCGCAGCTCGGCCGGTGCGGTGTTCCGAGCTCGCCTGGCGACTTTCTGATCCGCGCTGCAGGCGTGGCCGCTTGGAGTCGAGCTTGAATGGCGCGCTTCTTTCTCTTTCTGGTGAAATAATCTGGGCCTCCTAGATGGGGTCGGAGTGGATGGGGTCGGAGGATCGCGCCGCATCGCCAATTCATCGCCGATGCGGCTCGATGCGGAGCCCGATTTTCCCCACGCCGACGTCGCCGGTGCATCGCCGACGTCGCCGATGCATCGCCGATGCATCGGCGATGCATCGGCGATGCGGTACGATCCTCCGACACCACCTGCTCGGACCCCATCTAGGAGGCCTCTAAATAACGCGCTGCCCCATGATTTCGTGGAAACCCCGCGGCCTCCTGAGCACCCCAGCACGAGGCCCAGACGGCCCCCGCGGGCCCCAGCACAGTGCGAAAAGCCGTGGACACCTTTCATGCGGTGAAGATTCGGCGGCGAGCGAGGGGGGAAGTGAGAAGGAGAGGGCCTTCTCAGAAGGCGACAGGACTTCTCAGAAGCCCTCGCGCCTTCTGAGAAGTGTTTTTGTCCGTCTTCGGGGAATGCTTAGAAAACTTCTCAGAAGGCCCGGGGACTTCCGCACCTTTTCTGAAAAGGCCTTCTCCTTCTCCATTCCCCCGCTCGCTCGCCGCCGAAAGAAACACCACGACCCCCATCACTGGGGTTTACCAAGCAGCCCTGGGCATTTACGAAGCAGTCCTGCCCTGCTCGAGTCCTTCCTTACTGAAGGGCTTCGCTTTTTCGGGGTGCTCACCGTGATGGCGGTTCTCCTGGCCTCTACTCTTTGGCCAGGAACGCCTTTTTTGGCAACCCCTGACCGATCAATGATAAAACAATGATAAGCGTAGTTTTATAGCATACCATCAATTAAGATGAGCTGCTTCGCGCGCGCGAACAAACATTTGTTACATAAAAAGAAAGACGAATCCATAGACAACATCACGCACGTCAAAGCAGCAGTAAACACCATACACACTCAAGCAATCCATACTAACAGTGCTAAACAAACCAACCAAATTAGCAATAACGCCACACATCAAAACAATAGTAAACATGGTCCCAGAAAGCAAAACATCCCTTTCGCAGGGCAGTCGCACGCCCCTGGTGGGGTCTCCCGCATGTGCCCCGAGGTGGAGCAGCTGCCGCACGGCGTTTTGGCTGCTCCTGGGAGGCCCCTGCAGTCGCCTGGGCCGACTTCGAGAGAAGGGGCGCGGCAACCATGACCACGATGTCGCGGGAGATGGTCGACGCCGATCTTGGTCATTGCCCGTGCCGGCCGTCGCCGATTCGCGAGGTCATGATCCAGGAAGTGACGATGACCAAGATGTACGACGACCGGGCTCGACGCCGACGTTTCCGCGCTCGGTCTCGGTCGTCTTCATCGTGTCCCTCCCTCCATGACTGGCTGGGCGGAGCATTCGGCCTGGCCCGATGGCCCTCCGCGCTCGCCTGCAGCTGCCGACGGGCTGGGAAGCGAGGACCTCGGACGTGCTCCCGCTTGCCTCCGCGCCAGTGCGGCGGGCCTCCGCCCGGGCGCCCCGTCCGGGCATGGCGCCCGGCCCCCCGCCACCCCGCAGGCGCGGGCGAGGAGCCGGCCCGCCGCCGACCAGATCTCGTGCTGCCGGCGGCGCCGAGCTCACGCGGGCGGTGGGCCTCGGCTGCGGAGCCGCGCGCCGTGCCCTTATCCGGGCCCTGCCGCTCGGCCGCCCGGCCGCCTGCCGCCTCGGCACGGCACGCGCGAGCCCGCTCTTCCAGGGTCGTCGGGCGGCCCGCTTCCTCTGCACCGTCTGAGGCGCGCCACGCCTCGGAGGGTCAGCTCCACGTTCGACGGCTTGCCCTCGTCGGCGGCCTCGGCCTTCGCGAGCTCGTCCGCCAAGGCCCCCACCGTCCCCAGGCCTCCGACGCCGTGCTTTCAGAGCTCCCGACCCCTCCGAGGGACTCTCCCTCCTGGCGGCGTTCCGAGGGCCCTGGGCACCGGAACGGGCCCCCAGAGCTCGAGGATGCAGTTGCAGTCTGCATCCTCTCTACGCTCTACGCTACGAGCCAATCCTTGGCTCGTGGCGCTGCGTGCTCGGGCCCACTCCCTGCCTCGCCTATGCTGGCAGTGCCCGCACGGCGTGCCCCGCCTGCGCCCATTGGGAGGGAGGAAGGAGGGAGGAGGGAGGAGGGAGGAGGGAGGAGGGAGGGGGGAGGAGGGAGGAGGGAGGAGGGAGGGGGAGGAGGGAGGAGGAGAGGAGGAGGGAGGAGGAGGAGGGAGGAGGGGAGGAGGGAGGAGGGAGGGGAGGGAGGAGGAGGAGGAGGGGAGGGGAGGAGGAGGAGGAGAAGGAGGAGGAGGAGGAGGAGGAGGAGGAGGCCGGGAGCTGCCCCGGCGCCTCGAGCCGGCGGAGCCCGCCGGCGGCCGGCCGCGCCGCGCAACGCGCGGGTGCAGGCCCGTCCGCCCCCGAGTGGCCTCGTCGTCTCCCCCCCTGCCCCGGCCGCCCGGCCTCCCCGCCTGCCCCTCCTGGCGCGCGGCTGCCGCTCTTCGCTCTGCGGCGGCGCCCCCCCTCCCCTCTCCTCCCCGTCTATATAGCTCCTCGCTGGTGCAGCCGACTCCCGCCTCGCCGCCGGCGGAAGAGGTGGGGTCAGTTTTTTTTGTTTTGTTTGTTCTCTCTCTCTCTCTCTCTCTCTCTCTCTCTCTCAGGAGGGGAAAAGGCACACAGGCACAAGTATTCGTCGATTCCCAAAAGATATGCGAAAGTATGGGAAGTGAGGGGGCAGACAAAAGCCCAGAACATGTGAGAAAATAGGGGGAATATTCTTATCTGTGTGTAGTTATTTGTGTGTCCCAGGGCCCCTTCTCTCTCTCTCTCTCTCCCTCTACCCGCCCCCTGGCAGGATGGACGCCTATGCCGCCGAAAAGGACTTCGACCCCGTGGGTTGCACGGCCTGGCAGACGGTGGCGCTGGCGGCGGCCATGGCTGCGCACCCGGCGGCTGCGCGTCGTTCTGCTCGTCGTCGTCTGCGTCGCCGTCGTGCTTCCCCTCCTGCGCGTAAGTTGGGCGTGTCCCCCTACGGAAGGAATGTTCAGGAATAGTCACACAACAAATCGTGTGGGGACGATGGTTTGAATATTTTTGAGCATTTCTGGATTACTTTTTGACTCTTTCTTATTTTCGCGTCCGCAATCCGCCTGTAGGAGGACATGCCCGACCTAATCCTCGTCGTCTGCGTCGCCGTCGTGCTTCCCCTCCTACGCGTAAGTTGGGCGTGTCCCCCTGCGGAAGGAATATGCAAAAATAGTCACGCAAAATCGTGTGGAGACGATGATTGGAATATTCTTGAGCATTTCTGGGTTGCTTTTTGACTTTTGTATACTTTCGCGTCCCCAATCCGCCTGTAGGAGGACAGACCCGATCTAATCCTGCCCAGACCTCTAGCGTCACGAGCAAATTGTGAGTGCAGTGATTTTGAAGAAGGAGAAAAAAACGCCGCAAACAAACTTTTGGCGCTCCGCGCGGATTTCTTGGATCGGCGCTGGACCCCCCTGGGGGCGCCTCGGCCGCCGCCCCTGGCGCGCTCCGCGCCTCAGGGAGGGGTGTGCAGATCCAAGGAATTCGCGGAGCGTCAACCGTTTATGCTTATCGCGTTTCTTCTTCTTCTGTTGTTTCACTTGGTCGGGCTCTTGAAGCCCGCTGCGGGCTCCAGGACAGTCACAGATCGGTCCCGGGGGCGGGGGCGAGACTGTTTTGGGAAGGGGCCTGCGTGAGGTCTGAGGTGCGCCCTGCGCCCCACCCGACGCTCCACTGCATCGGGCCAGCCGTCGGTTGTCAGCGGGCGCTCGGTAATGAATGCGTTCGCTGGGCTGCTTTCTCGTTGCACCCGAGGGCATCAGAAGTATTGCCCAGCGGCGCATGGCTAGGGCGTACGGGTGCGACTCGAGGTCAACAAAACACCCTGGCGCTAGAAGGCCCTCAGCAGCATGGTGAATCAGGGAAGAGGGAGTTTCAGTGTACCTACGCAGAGGAACGATAAAGGGGGCATTCGGGATTTCGTTCCCTAACCCCCCTCGGGAAATGTCGGGGCATGTTCCAATTACTTCTGTGTATCCACCCGCCCTAAGGCCGGCGTGCCTCCTGGAAACATGTTTGCACCATGGCTTTTCGCACCCGCCCCTCCCCCCGCGGAGGCACAAAAGCACAGAGAGCGCACGCATCGAGTGTCGAGTTTTCGCGCCCACCCACCCGCCGCAGCCGACCGCCGACTGCTTGAGGCATCGTCTCTGGGCGCCCCCGGAGGGCCTGCGCCCTTGGCCTGCCCGTGGCCGACCCATGGCCCAACCATGGCCCGCTCGTGGTCTGCCCACGGCCTGCCCACTGCCTCTCCGTGGCCTGCCCGTGGCACCTGCCCGCCCGTGACCTGTGCGCAGGGGTCTGGGGGCGCCAGGCGTGCCAATGTCGCAGAACTCAGCAGGCGTGGCATTCTCTTGCTTACACCAGGAGAGGGGTGCGCAGGGGGTCGTCCGTGAGCGCGGTCTCTATATACGCGCCAGTGTCGCAAAACCTGGCAAGCGTGGCAATTTCTCGGCACCAGAGGGGGTGCACAGGGGGGTGGTCCGTGAGCGCGGTCTCCATACGCGCCAGTGTCGCAAAGCGTAGCAGGCGCGGCATTTTCTCGACACGAAAGGGGGTGCGCAGGGGTCCCTGACCGTGGTCTCTATACGTGAATACATAACGACTTACACTAAGTATGTGAGCTTTCTCGGTAGCGTAATGGTCTCCTCGCGAAGTCCAAAAACGACCGAAGAATGTTCGCGTATAAATCTTCTGACAAGATTTCTCAACTCATGCGCCCACTGTAAATGTGAGGGGCTGGGGTGGAGCTGGACAGGGACGGGGAGGGGGAGGTCGAGGAGGAGTAGAAGGAGAAGGCGACGGTGAGATGGAGGGGGAGGGATGGGGAGAAGGTGAGGAAGAGGGAGAAGAAAGGTGCGACGGGGAGGAGGACGGATGACGCGAGGGAAACAGAGAGAGAGGGGAGGAGGATGAGGGGGAGAAGGAGGAGCTGGCTGAGGGAGTGAGGAAGAGCATGGCGATGATCTTGATGGCGGTGGGAAGGCGATGCTGATGGCGATGCTTATGACGTCGACGATCACGGCGACGATACATGATGAGTCATGGTGGTGGTGCCGGTCTCTGCGGCGACGATGATGATGATGATGAACATGATGATGAAATTGATGATGATGATGATGATGATGATGATGATGATGATGATGATGATGATGATGATGATGATGATGATGATGATGATGATGATGATGCGATGAGATGAGGATGATGATGAGGATGGATGAGATGAGGATGAGATGAGGATGAGGATGAGGATGAGGATTAGGATGATGATGATGATGATGATGAGGATGATGATGATGCTGATGCTGATGATGATGATGAGGATGATGATGATGATGATGATGATGATGATGATGATGATGATGATGATGACGATGATGATCTGATGCTGATGATGATGATGCTGGTGCTGCAGGATGGTCAGTGTCTTGAGCAGGGCAGCCATGGCCACCGCTCGTCCAGCGGCAGCCACGGGCGCCCCGCGTCGCCACGTCGGGCCCCTCCGCTGGCCTCTGCCCACCCCGCACGCCGCCGACCAGGAGGAGGAGGAGCAGGGGGAGGAGGAGGACAGGGGGAGGAGAGGAGGAGGAGGAGGAGGAGGAGGAGGAGGAGGAGGATGGAGAGAGGAGAGAGAGAGGAGGAGGAGGATGGAGGAGGAGGAGGAGGAGGAGGAGGAGTAGCAGGAGGAGCAGGAGGAGGTCACGCGTGCGCAAGTCCTGCCTCGCGGGCGCCGGGGAAGGGCCCGCGAGGGCCGGAGGCACCAAGCGGTGGCGAGGCGTCCTGGCTTGGCTCTAGGCCCACCACCAGAACCTTCATGGGGTTGCACGAGGGGTTCTCAGAACAGATTTGGCCTCGAGGGGTTCTCAGAACAGATTTGGCTGGGACCGTCTTGCTTTCACACACCGGGCTTCTGTTCTAAGAGCATTGCCTCTGTTCTCAGAAGATGGAGGGGTTCTGAGAACATGTCGTGGTAGGCCTAGAGGCATGCCGGGGCGGTCGGTCCCTGCTCAAGAAGCACAACGGTGCCACGACGGCGGAGCCCAGCCCTCGCGATGAACCGTCGTCCACGTCCTGCCTGACGAGGGGCCCGCGGTCGTCGGGCGCTGCGTAGCCCGAAGCCTGCATGGTGATCGTGATCGGTTGCTCATTCCTTGCTTTGCCGATCGGCGCGGGCCCTCGCACTCCCCCCCCCCCTTCCCTCCCCCCCCATTGGGTAGGTCTTGGCTGTTTGGGGCGCCTGTTTCAGGCAGGGGTGGGGTCTCCCCCATGGGACGCACTCCTGCAGACAGTCGCACTATGCAGAGGTCCGGAGCCAGACCCCCCCCCCCTCCCTCCCGTCCCCTCTGCCGCCCAATGTCGAAACGCCGAACAGGAACACGCTCACCTGCCTCGTGGGAGGAGTGGAGAGTGGCTTGCCAGGGCCGGAAGCACACTCTGCCACGACAGCTGAGCCCCTCGCGCTCAAGCGTCGTCCACGGCACGCCTGGCTTTGGGGCTCGGGGTCGTCGGGCGCTGCGCGGCCTAAGCGACTCCTGGCAAACCATCCCCTTCCGTGGAGTCCCCCTCGCCTCGCCCCAAGACGGATGTATGCGGCCGGAGGGGAGCTCGAAAGGCGAAGGTGACGTCACGGGAGGGGATGGCTTGCTAGGGGTCGGTTAGGCCGCGCCCGATCAAGCCAGC